TCTCTCTCTCTCTCTCTCTCTCTCTCCTTCGCTCTCGCTACTGCCGCCACTCAGCAGCATCACTACAACTTACACGCGACGTGACCCGGGCTGTTTCGCTCGAGCCTCAAGTATCGTTGACTCGCTCGAGACTACAGAACAGAACAGAGCTTGCAGCACGCTGAGCCCAATGGCATGCATGAGTGCCGTGTCGTGTACATGCGTACGGCGTGAGGCATGCGGCCCAGCGGAATCGTAGCTCCGGCCACTCGCGTCCAACTCCGCGCACTTGACGTGCCCACTCGCGATCCGCTTGAGCGCTCTGCTGACACCGCTGCGTCACGTCTCCTCGGATTTTGGCTTGAATTTCGAGCCACTTCAGAACCTCGAGCTTGCAGCCAGCCCGGAAGTAAGCACGGCTTGGTCACTCGGCTCACGCCTCACATAAGCAACTCGCATGCCAAACCGATTCCAAATATCGTGTCGCGTTCAGCCGTGCTCCCGGCCGAAACATCTCGCCCTCGCCGATCCCATCCCCCGATTCCAGCTTCAAGCCTTCACTCTCCGATGTGCCTGCTGCTTCAAGCTTGACACTCGTACACCCATTCGCAGGCTCAGGCCAGCCAGGTCAAGCTGATACAATGTCGGGTCAACACGAGAATGTGTGATTGCTTTTGGTGGGCATGTTGCGAACGCGCGAGGCGCTCAAGGTGGCGCACTGGCAGCTCTTGCCTTGAATGGCAAGCTACTGCAAGCGGCCCAAGTGGGTGATAGGAGGGTGGAGATGTGAGAGGGGCATCAGATGCAGTGCGTCGCTAACCTGCTTGGCGCCACGCTCAGATGCACCTCCTCCATAGAGCTAATGTAACAGATGCGGCGGAGCAAACGGGGAAGAGGGAAAGGGGAATGACAAGTGCACGGCTGCACATTTAGACACGGCCCTTGCCGGCACCACCCTTCATCTGCTGGCGCGAGATCTGGGGACCAGCACCACCGGCGCCGACCGACTTGGCCTTGGTCGCCTTGCGTGCCTCGGCCTTCGACTTCTTGTCCTCCTTGCTCTTGGCAATGGCGGCCTGGCGGGCGGCAGCACGGACCTCGGGCTTCTGGTTGCGGCGGGCGTTGATCACGTCAAGCGAAGCGCCGACAATGCCACGCTGGTGCTTGACGGTCTTGCGCGAGCGCTTCTTGGCGACCTCCTCGGTAACACCCTTCTTGTGAAGACGACGGTACACAGTGGTCCAGGCGATCTTACGGGGGTTCTTGCGCTGCAGGAAGAGCGACTCGTTCTTCGAGCTGACAAAGCGGAACACCTTGTTGTCACCGCGGACGTAAAGACGACCCTTACCACTGTTGGTGTGCGAATGATGCATGAGGTTGGCGGTGTCAATGGTCAGTATTCGACGTTGAGTAGATGCTTCCACCTGCTGATGGACATGCAATCCAAGGTCGAGGCTGCAAAATGTCGATGGCGTCCCGTACACCCGTCAAGTGATTGGATCTGGTCGGCGAGCGGCACTGACGGCAGCATAATCATCACGACATCCAGACCCTCCATTTCACCTCGAAGTGTAATCCAATCGGCGCAGTGTCGCTTCGAGTCGTCCCAACAAGCTGCTGATATGCTGCGCTACAAGTTGTGTCGCGAAATCACAATCCTCCGACGTATGCTGGGTGTGCGTATTCGCCGCACTGTTGATAGGTTGCGCAAGATGTTGGGTCGATGCAGCGGAAAGTCGAATGTCGAAGATGCTGATGTGTCCACTGCATGTTCCGAGCGCATTCGCAGGTGGGAAACGTGCCACCATCCCTGACGGCCTAGAAACGCAAAGAAGATCGGACCACTGTCCCTGCTAACTGGTCTCCGTCCTAGCTCCGCGACGCTGTTGAACACACCTTCGCCATGCTGCGAGTTGTCCCAGTGGATCTCTTTCCATCATTCATCCCAAAAAGTCTCGTTTTCCTCCGCCCTGAATTGCCAACGTCCGAACACTGCTGAATGTCGATGTGTCTCCAATGCTGCCCGGGTGCTGGTGTACTCTTCCGAGTCGTGATGATGCGACTGTCGAGGTGGTGGTTGAATGTACTTTGGCCGCTGAAGTCTGTGCAGCGGTAGTGCTGCAACCTTGGAGTGCATGTCCATCATTGCAAAGTCGTAATTGAACCACTTACGGGTAGATCTTCCTTTGGGAGAAAGCGCAAATCTCGACCTTCATCTGTGCAAGAGTGGAATGCGACGGTGACGGTGGTGATGTTGGTGGTGGTGCAACAACGTTGGAGTCAAGCGAAGGACCGTGTGGTGAGTGATCGTGGTCTGGAGCTGCGTTGGATGACGAATGTCGGCTGTGCGTGACGTGCTGGTGTTGTCGTCGACAGTGGGCGTGGTGTGTTGTCGGGCTTACCTTGACGATATCTTAGGTGATCTTGAAGCAAAGTTGGTCGATGAGGAAGGTGGAGACGAGGCGGTAGCAGCACGGCTCTAGCGTCTTGCCCGACAGCGACGGCGACGCACGCGCGCTGGTGCCCAGCCTCGATGGAGCGGCCGACTGCCTGGCTGAGCCGGGTCGCTGCGGTGTGCTGCCAGCTGCAGCTTCACTTGGCCCACAGCCTGGACATTCTCACCCAAAATGAAGGGCCCGATCCAGGCCGGCTCCGGTTGAAGATGCATCACGTGGATAACAAAAAGCTCGGCCGAGGTCCGGTCCCCACTATCTTTTATGACGCGACCCTTTGCCGCCAATGCCTCTACCCACCTTGCAGATCCATTCATTTGTCTGCTCGTCATCGTTACAGCATCGACCCATAGCAATGTCGATATTATGCGTAGGTCATGCCATGATGATGATTGCTCTGAATGCTAGAGAGGAGCGATGGTGTGAGGGCCGTACATGTTGGTCGGGCGAAAGCGAACGCACTGAGCATCTGTTAGACTTTCTAATACTACAAAGCTGCGCGGTTTTCATGTTTGGTGCCCCACGCGAGTTTCGGACCCTGTCACCCATGCCACCGCTCTTTGCTCGTCCTGAGCGATGGATGGATCTGCATCCTGTACGGGAGTCGGTGGGACCCGACGCTATGCTGCAGCTATGCGGCGACATGCAGCTTCATGCGTGACATTCCGCGCTGGTGCGATGTACGCCCGAAGGTCCCTTACCTTTGGCGCAGCGCCGGGGCCGACCTCGTGGTCTTGAAGGCGCCAAGTTTGACCGGCGGCTGAATATACTCATTTGCATGCGCAAAGGCCGCACTGCCCGAACCCTGTGGGCGCGGCTGCCACCACCACCGCGCGGTCTCCACCACATGGCGGCGGGGCTGTGCCTGTTGGATCAACCGGATGCAGTGGCACAACGCCGCCGGTCGGTGCTGCTTCGGGGCCTGGCGTGTGGGCCTCGTTGATAGGATCATGCGAGGAGATGGAATGCATCCGTCCAGCTCTGTTCGAGACGACATCTGATAAACCTTGTGCCGCAATGAGCGTGAATGGATCCGACTGGCCAGCGTGGCCGTGACAGGCGACAACGTTCCATCTCCCGCCACGCGCGCAAGCCGCTCCTCTTTGGCATCACATCGGCGGCTCCTATCAATCGCTGCAGAGAGTGTCTGTCGGTTCTTCCAATATGGATTCGGGGCTGTTGTGCGATGCTGTTGTCCCGGTCCCCGGCTCAACTCTTGGTGGTCCCTAGCCTCCGACCCGTTCGCCCGCACCGCAAGACACCATGCGCCCGCACCTGGGAATCCCGGCGACGTTCACTCATGTTTCATACAGCACGATACCTTTGCGATCGGGTGCTTACTCTGACCTTTGACTGTTCAACCCATGACGCCTGCCTTGACGTCGAGTCGAGCGCTTCTGCACCGAGCCTCCCCGAAATCACCGCGGAGCAAAGCATCGTAAGCGCGTCCGAAGCCGTGGACATCCCGCGGACACGGACGTGTCCTTTTTTCGGGGATGCAAGTCCGAAGCGCTTGGCGGCGATGGGATTGAGCTCGTTTGCCCGGTCAATTCGACGTGCCAAACCCTTGGCAGCGACAGGAGATGGCCGGGGAGCGCCGCGCGTGGACCTCAAAACTGCGGCTGGCATTGCGGGATTGCGGGCAGCAAAAGTCGCCGAGTTGCAGAGCCGGGCGGATCGTCGCAGGTTGTGTTGGAGGCGAAGGCTCGATCAAGCCGGGCTCCACACCGAGAAAGCAGACACCGGTCAAAAGCATTGATGCGCCCAACGTCGTTTTTTTGCTCGGAAATCGCGCAGAGTGCCGACGGGATAGGGCTCTTGGCGCCCACGCAGGGCAGATCGAGGGAGGAGATGAGCGCTGCAACCGCCTCTTCGACGCCGAAGGCAGGCGGAATCTAGCATGCCAGACCACTCAGGCACCGGCACAGAGGCACGACCAGCCGGGCTCGGCTTTCTGGGCTCGGTCGCCAATGCATGCCGCCTCCGCGTCTGGTCCTGCCAGCTCGTTTGCACTGCCCCCGTTCAGGAACTCGCCAGACTCGACACACACGCATCAAACATTCGGCTCCCGCCTCGCCAGGCCCGCAGTGCCGCGGCGCAGATTACCGTGGTCTACGAACCCCCGCCCCCCCATCAGTTCGCGGCGTCGACGACACAAAGGCCCTCCGAGCCCCAAAAATGCGCAAATCGCGTCTTGCAAGCCTGACCCTCAGCTTGCTGCTCGTGTGCACCGCTTTTTGTCCGTGACTGCTATTGTGCGCATGCCATCGGCTTCAGCTGCATACCGAGATTGAACTTGCATGCCCCAGTGCATCTGTGCTGCCGCCTCGTTTCCCGTCATGCTGGGTGGCACCACTGTTGTGCTTCATTTTACGATGCAGCGGTACTGTACCCTGCCTTTCCGTTGCTCAATTGTGCGAAGGACGCTGAGGATTCGGCCTGCAAGAACGAAAGGCGTGATGCATTAGCGAGGCCCGGCGAACCTGGGGCGTGGTGTCAGTGACCGCTGTGACGGTTCGGGTTGCAGCCGATTTGCAGGTGCAATCTCTGCCCAAATTGCAACTCCAACCCGGCACCTCGAATCTGCCTGCCAAGCTGAGCCGGGCGGAGACGGTGCATCCGCTCTTCCGACCACCATCCTCCGCCATCCCGTCCGCTGCTGCCGCCTCCTCGCCAACCCCTCCCACCATCCCTCAGAGCTTGTGGTAAGTGATCATTCCTCGAGAAAAACGGGCAGCGACACATCGACCATCGACGCGCCCGCATTCGCAATGGCCAACTCGGTTGATATGGAGACGAGGGTCTTGATGGCTTCGAGTAACGCCAGACTTTCCTCTCGGCGACTCTCGACGGAGAGGCGAGGGCGACCCAGCTAGCTACCCATTCTATCATGGCCGCACATTGCTCTCATCCCCAACCGTCGCCGTGATTCTCGCTAGAACCGCATCGCCGGCCCTCCCGCAATCCAGGCGTTGCGTCGTTGCATTGCGAGGGGCTCGGCAATCAGCCGCTTCTTCTCTATGACATCGCGACTAAGCGATATTGGCTTGCTGTCGGCTAGACTGGGTTACATCAAAGCGGAATCGTGGCAGATGCGGGCTTAGCCATCGGCTCTGCACCGACCGTGTTTGGCTCAGACCTCGACTGCCTCCAAGTTGCGGAGAAGCACCTCCCCCTCGGACACTAGCCGATTCGAGATCGGCTCTCCCGAGTCCAGCCATAAATGGTCACATCTAGCCAGTACGAGTACCTGATTACTGACAACGCCCTTATTCTGTGTCAATCTGCTGCCCTCTTCCCGTATCTCTACCTATGACCACTCTCTTACGACACCATCATGCATGGCATCCTGCCACTACAGCCTAGTCCGCTTGAGTTTTACTCGCGAAACAGCCAGCTCGCATCATCCTCCTCATCCTCTCCTCATCCTCATTCTCCCGCCTACCGCCGTTCACCGCCAACCTTCGCCATCACCCCTGTCCGCCTCATCACAAACATCACCTTCTTCACTCCCTTCCGCCCTCCATCGCCTCGAGTTTCAACCTGAAAAGGCTCCAAGGCTACCCCTCCGACCAGCTTGAACTGCAAAGATACTCCGCGCGCCTCGAGTCGCTGCACACCGTATCTTTCGTAGCTATCCACGCTAAACAACCTCGCTTGCAGCTACCAGCCCGACCCTCAGCCAGCTTTGCTTTGGTCTTCCCCTCCCCAGCAAACGACCATGGACTCCAACACCGCACCTCACGTAGAGGCTCAGCCTGCCGCCGTCCCCGCCTTCCAGCGACCCTCTGGAAGTGGCGGAGGCAACAAGAAGGGCACCAGCGCCGAGCGCCGTGCCACCCACAACGCCATCGAGCGAGCTCGTCGCGAGTCGCTCAATGGACGCTTCCTGCAGCTTGCGGCGTCGCTGCCGTCCATCTCGGACGTACGCCGACCAAGCAAGTCGCTCATCGTCAACAAGTCGCTCGACTTTGTCGCCGACGCCCTCAACCGGGAGACCATGTACCGCGTCAAGATCGACAGCGCGCGTCAGGAAAACATGCAGCTGCGTCAGCAGCTCAACAAGTTCCTCGCGCAGGCCGGCATGGAGCAGCTTCCGCCTCCGCCCATTGACGAGCTGCCTGTTCCCATGGCCGAGATGCGCAACAAGAAGCGTGCGTCTGGCATGGCTGCCTCGGCCAACTACGGCGACCTGTACGACCTCGACGACGACGATGGTCCTTTGGCTCCGGGCAGCGAAGGAGAAGGCGGCAAGACGAGCCCCACGTCGTCTTGCTCGGCAGCTTCGAGCCTTCGAGGCTCGCTCTCGAGCTCGCAGCCTGCTGGCGTGCCTGCCTTCACTCCGCTCTCGCACGGTGGCGTGTATGGCGCTACAGCTGGCTTCCTCGCTGCGCCGGCCGCTTCGCTCTCTGTGAATGGCACGTCGCCTGGCGCCTCGACCAATTCGGACGAGATCGGCGCCAGGGAGCGTAGCGCCGGGTTCGAGGACGCTGCGGGCAACTGGACCATGGTGTCCAATGGCGTGGGTGTGACTCAAGCACCCACGGCTGCACCGCAGCTCACCTATGCCGGACTTGCCTTTTCGTCGGCCGGCGTGAATGGCGGAGTGGCCGCAGTGGCGCCTGGAGCTCGCCTCGTCAATGGCGTCCCGCAGTTTGCGACCAACGGCAATGGCGAAAGTGGCAACGCTGGATTGTCTGCTGTTCCTGCTGTGCTTGCTCAGGACGGGCAGTCACACATGTATTCGATGAACGCGGGCAACTTCATCAACCTTCGCAACGCGCAGCAGATGCAGCAGCAGCAGCTCCAGTACCAGCTGCAGCTGCAGCATCAACAGCATCAACAGCAGCAGCAGCAGCAGCAGCAGCAACACCACGTTGCCAACTTTGCCCACTTTAATCCTTCGTCTTTTTTTGAACAGGCGCCGCTGCAGTCCGCTAGCTTCATGACTGCAGTGTAAGCGCGACCTTCTGGCTGTTGACGATGCTCGCGCTTGGCCGCTAGTCGTCGTGCTGGCCCTTGGCCGGCCGAGCACAGCTTCCGTTGCATGGTGAAGCGGCACCTTCCGGTCGATGGTTCGCCGCAGCTCTGTTAGCATGCTGTGGCGCAACGAGAGCCATGGTGTCGCTCGCCCCTCCGATCCCCACGCTGCCTGGCCGCAGGTGGCGGACGATTCTACTACTTTGTGTATTGCTACACACTTTTTTTTTTGCTGCTCCACAATCCGGTGCTCACTCTGAGCGCTGCTTTGATGGCGGGCTCGGCTTCCTTTACGCACCGGACTTGCTTCCCTCTCCTTGACCTTCTTTGTCGTTTCCAACTGTACTCTCTTGCTGCTGTCACAATCTTTATTACGTGTCTCGTGGAGCAGAGTGGGTGGTTCTTCTTGCCCATGGTTGAGGGGAAAGGCCAGCGTGACGATAGAAGCGAGGCTGCAAGGGCGCCGGGCAAATGTGCGTATTTGTTAGAGCGGCATGCGAGTGTGGGGGGAATGGGAAGGTGAGTCGAGTCAGACGTGCAGATGCGCCGCGACGAGTTGATTGGCCGGTGCGCGGCGGCGTCGAGTCGAATTCCAGCTGGCTGAGTCCAAAAGGCGTTCGATGGTCCGTGGTTGAAGTGATGGCCGCGAGAGCCCGCTAGAACTGATAAGCGCCTGCGAGGCCCAAAGCCGATTGGGTCGCTTTGATCACCCGCTGCTGCTCCTGCTGCTGCTCAACGCCCTTTTTCGCGCTAGCAGCCAGCCGCCTCCACTGCCCCTCGCCCTCACCCTCAACCTCAACCTCGCCTCGAGACTAGCCAGCTTGGCGTGTCGAGAACACCCGCAACCCTCCCTCTTCACACCGCTTCCACCATCCTCAATCCGCCCCGCAGAGTCTGAGTCTCACATCTCTCCGCGACGTCTTCTTAAACCCCACCGCTTTTCGAGCCTGGCCTTACTCGCACCCGTCTTCCCGCAAAAGGTTCTTGGCAACATGGGCGTGCTTGCGGCTCACCGATCTTCGTCGCGCGGCCTGGCGCGTGCCGCCATCGCATCCCAGCGATGGTTGAGCAGCAGCGCTTCCGCGTCGCGCGTCGCTACCGCCTCGACTGCCGCTGCTGCGGCTCCCGCTCAGGCCATCAAGCCTCGCGCCGCCGCTGCTACTGCCGCGACCGTGCGTCCCTACTCGAGCGCTGCAGCTCGCGAGAACGCATACGACCGAGAGACCATCACGCGTCTCTTGTACTCGCTCGCATCGCGCAAGGAGGTCGAGAGGTATTTGCGCATCTTCTCCGCCGCTGACAAGTTCGCCGTGATCAAGGTCGGCGGCGCCATCCTCACCCACCAGCTCGAGGAACTCGCGCTCAGCCTCTCGTTCCTCCACCGCATCGGCCTCTACCCCATCGTCCTCCACGGCGCTGGCCCCCAGCTCAACGAGCTCCTCGAGAAGGAGGGCGTCGAGCCAGACTACATCGACGGCATCCGCATCACCGACGCAAAGACGCTCAAGGTCGCGCGTGGCATCTTCCTCCAGGAAAACATGCGCCTCGTCGAGAAGCTCGAGTCGCTCGGCAGCCGCGCCCGCCCCATCCCCATCGGCACCTTCACCGCAGACTACCTCGACAAGGACAAGTACGGCCTCGTCGGCAAGATCAACAAGGTCGACAAGGAGCCCATCGAGAGCGCCATCCGCGCAGGCTGCATCCCCATCCTCACCTCGCTCGCCGTCACCAACGACGGCCAGATCCTCAACGTCAACGCCGACGTCGCCGCCTCCGAGCTCTCCAAGACGCTCGAGCCGCTCAAGATCGTCTACCTCAACGAGAAGGGCGGTCTCTACCACGGCAAGACCAAGGAGCTCATGGAGGTCATCAACCTCGACGAGGAGTACGACGACCTCATGAAGGAGGAGTGGGTCAAGTACGGCACCAAGCTCAAGCTGCGCGAGATGAAGGAGCTGCTCGACCACCTCCCGCGCTCCTCGTCCGTCGCCATCATCTCGGTCGACCAGCTCCAGAAGGAGCTCTTCACCGACAGCGGTGCGGGTACGCTCATCCGCCGCGGCTACAAGCTCTACCGCAAGAACAGCATCGAGGAGGTGGGCGCCGAGCGCATCCGCCAAGTGCTCAAGGAGAACGACGAGGAAATCAAGGACGGCCGCAAGTCGGTCGCCGAGTTCTTCTCCGAGATCTCACACCACCCCTACACCGTCTACGGCGACGAGCCGTTCGACTGCGTCGCCTTTGTCTCGCAGCCCGAGGGCGAGGTGCCCATCCTGCAGAAGCTCGTCACCACGCGCAACGGCGTGCTCAACGGCGTCAACGACAACATCTGGAAGCAGATCCGCAAGGACCACAAGCGTCTCGTCTGGACCTCGCGCGCCGACGACGACCAGCGCGCCTGGCACTACGAGCGCGCCGACGGATCCTTTACGCGCAACGGCCGCTCGCTCTTCTACTACGGCATCCACGACGTCGCCGAGGTCGAGCAGATCGTGCGCGGCCTCGAGGAGAAGAGCCGCATCGAGCGCGCCTACCTGCCGCTCAAGCCCGCCAAGCCCACGGGCACGCGCGGCTACTCGACCATGGCGCGCCCCGGTCTGACGAGCGCGCGCGTGATGGGCGAGGGCCGCCGCGGCTACGCGACTGCCGTGGAGCGCAGCGGTCCGCTGCCGGCGTCGACGACGGACAAGAAGCGCGTGGCGCTCATCGGCGCGCGCGGCTACACGGGCCAGAGTCTGATTGCGCTGCTCAACAACCACCCGCACATTGAGCTGTCGCACGTGTCGTCGCGCGAGCTCGCCGGCATGCCGCTCGCCGGCTACTCCAAGGCGGACGTCAAGTACACCAACATCGGCGTCGAGGACCTCAAGAAGCTCGAGCGCGGCGAGGGACCCGGTGCGCCGCCCGACGCGTACGTCATGGCGCTGCCCAACGGCGTCTGCAAGCCGTTCGTCGAGGCAGTTCAGGCCGGCGGCAAGGACAAGCCCAACGGCCACGGCGTCATTGTGGACCTCTCGGCCGATTACAGGTTCGACGAGCAGTGGACCTACGGATTGCCAGGTCAGTAGAGCGCGACTTTGCGGCGCAGTGGAGGGGATGGCCAACGCACGTTGCGGGCTCAGTCTGAAGCCGGGAAGAATGGAAATCAAACACAATTGCCACTGTTCTTCGCGCGGTCTTTGGGCTGGGTCTGTGTGCGTTGTTGCGCCCGATGAGGTACGAAGAGTTGAGCTGACGTTTGTTTCTTTTGGTGGGGAGTAGAGATTTACGGACGCAAGAGTGTGCGTGGGAGCAAGCTGGTTTCGAATCCGGGATGCTATGCCACGAACAACCAGGCGTTGATTGCGCCGCTGTTGTCGGTGCTGGATCTGGCGCGCGGACCGACGGTGTTTGGCGTTTCGGGATACTCGGGTGCGGGAACCAAGGCTAGTGAGACGCCGACGGGCGAGAGGAAGACGGTTCCCAAGATTACGCCCGAGGATCTGGCAGGCGGGATCAGGGCCTACGCGCTGACGGACCACATCCACGAGCGCGAAGCCGGCTACCAGCTCAGCAAGCTGGGAGAGAGCGAGGTGAACATCGCTTTTATCCCGCACGTCGCTCCGTGGTTCCAGGGCATTCTTAGCACGCTCTCGGCTCCACTCAAGACCAAGATGACCAGCAAGCAGGTCAAGGAGCTGTACCGCGAGTTCTTTGCCGACGAGCAGCTGGTCAAGGTGCAGGATCAGGTGCCAGAGATCAAGGATGTGGCGCTCCAGCACGGCGTCAAGATCGGCGGATTCCAGGTGAATGCGCGTGGCGACCGTGTCGTGGTGGTGGCCGCGATTGACAACCTCCTCAAGGGCGCAGCTACGCAGTGTCTGCAGGTAAGTGTGCCATACAGACGCAGAAAGGAATCCTTGTCGCTGACCATCGAATGGCTTGGCCGTGTGCTGAACGCCAGAACCTCAACATCGCCCTCGGATACGACGAGTACGCCGGCATCCCCCCACTCAAGTAATCACCCGCGCCACTGTGTGCTCAAAGTGCTGCTACAATCTCAAATTGGTTGCCGATCGCGCGCGTATGTTGCCAGCATGTCGCAGACATGATGTGTGTATACGCTGTCATCGCATCGCAAACATGCAGACGTCAATCTTGTGTGTCCATTCCATCAGCGTATGCAGAGGCGGAGTGAGTCGGCTTCGCCTACCGCACATGTCCGAACCGGCCCGACTCAATTGGAAGAAAAGCTCAGCTGTGTCTTCGTCACTCAGAGCCTGAGGCAGATCTGACTGAGCTCTGCGCTAACCGCTGCGCAAATACTGCTCCCTGAGATCCGGTATTTCAGCTTGCGTGGGCGTCCAGGCTCTGCATCCAGAATGCGTGCCTACACCGGAGAACAGTGGGTGTGGTGTGATACCGAGCGTGATACAGAGGCACATTCTTGGCACAGACGCTCATCCAGAGTAAGTCAACGCGACCCCTGCACCGACGACGCCCAAGTACTATCCACACAGCCGCACTTTTGATTATACAGCAACCGTGCGCTGTGAGGAAGTCAGGGTCCGCACTCGCGTCGTTAGTACTCGGACGCCGTCGGTACACTGGTCACGTCATCTTGCCGGACAGTCGCTCACCATGCTCCGTATCAACCGGACTCGCCCACAGCCTCTGTGTGACCCTGCGGAAGTCACACAAATCCTCACCTTTTGCGGTGTGGCTGCCTTCTTCACTGCGCAAGTCACAGAACAAGCTTTGTATTACGGAGCCACGAGAGGGAGCCAAGAGGGAGAGCCAAGTTCGCGCCAAAGCGGCGCGGACCAGGGCGTGAAAAAGCCTACATACAGGGGTGGAAAAGCGGCGAGTGTGGCTCGGAGAGGCCACGCTTGCCGAAGGACACGATTATAAAGGAGAAAAACGGAGCACAGAAGAGGTATTGTCCGAGGAGAGCCGAGGCAGAGGGGAGAGGGAGAAGAGCGTCTCGCGAGTTCCAGCTTAGTAAAGCGGAACGATACGAGGCGAAGTGAAAGTCCGTTGGAGGCCAGCGAAGGTAGTTCAGCTGTTCGTCGAGCGGTCAAGCTGACGCACAGCCGCTCCGAGTGTCGCGGTAGCTAAGCAGCGGCGTCGGTTGGGACACACGCCTACGCACCGCTCTATGTCGGGAGACCATCAAAGAGCGCGGACCGCCAGACCCGGAGCGCGTCCATCACCGAGGTCGCCCGAGCGGAAAGTAAAAAAAAACAAATCCAGCGCCGAGTTCCGAGTCCGCTAAAGGACGGGACAGGATCGCCAGAAGAAGAGGCCGAAAGCCGATACAGAAGCGCAGGTGGTATCATCAGAATGGCGGTCCATGGCAGCAGGTGCACAGTGGACGCCGGGGTATCGCATGGGTGGTGAGAGGATCCAGGAGAGCAGCAACAAGAGAAGCGTCAAGAACAAGCAGACAGCGCGCGCGGGCGGCGCTGTGCAAGGCTCGACCGTCCGGGATGCAAGTTGGAATCCGCAGTAGACTACTCCTGCTTGATCTGGTGGATCGGACCGGATGCGATCGAGATACCGCCCTGGGGACCTGCGCTGAGGACCATGGGGTGGGCAAGGGGATGGTTTAGGTGCGACATGGCGTGGCCGGACGCCGCGTCAAACTCTTCACCTGCGACGCCGGCGACACCGCCCATCGAGGTGTGCACGCGGGCGTGCTGGTTGAGGTTGTCGTGGCGGCTGAAGCGCTTGTTGCACGAAGGGTAGGGGCACAGGAAGGGCTTCTCGTCCGTGTGGATGGAGCGGACGTGCCTCTTGAGGTGCTCGCTGCGCTTGAAGCACTTGCCGCAGCCCGGCACCTTGCACGTGTAGACCTTGCCGCTCTTGCCGAGGTTGTTCATCTCCTCGGGCTTGTTGGGCACACGGCGTCCACGCGAGCGCTTGGTGATGAGGCCGGCGTACGGGTTGGCGAGATGGGCAAAGTGGCTGTACAGGCTCATGCCCTTGGGCAGCATCGCCAGACCGGGAGCCTGGGCCGGGATGTGCTGAATCTGGATCTGACGCGAGGCGGGCGAGGCGAGCACCGAGGGCATGCCGGCGGGCATGCCGAAGCCCGAGTAGGGCGACGAGCTGCTAGCGCTGTTGGGCGACGACGGGCACGAGGAACCGTGAGGGTGGGTGCACGAAGCGTCCGGGGCGCTCTGGGAGAAGATCATGGGGTAGGCGCTGCCGTTGCCGAAGAACGAGTGGACAGGGTAAGGGCCCATGGGCATGGGCGTGGCTCCGACGTTGGGGCTGTCGAAGAGGCCAAGGCTGGACTCGCTACCGCTGGAGCGGAGGTGGCTGTGGCCGCCGTCGCTCGACATGTCGGCAAAGGTCAGTGGCGAGATGGGCATGTCCTTGGCCCTGATGGTGCCAGAGTTGGCGGCGTTGTCGCCGTCTCCGCCGGCGGTAGGCTCCTCGATGAAGTCGTGGAAGCTGAAGTCGGCCGGGGTAAACATCTCCTGCTTGTAGAGGGAAAGCTTGGACGCATCGCAGGGAGATCCAAAGCCGATGCGGTCAAAAGCAGTCTGGATTGAGTCCGAGACGTCGACCGAGCCGAAGGGCGAGTCGTTCCAAGGGGCGCTGCACGCGTCGTCGGCGGAGGGGGACGTGACGTTGCTGTGATCGGCCTCGCTGTCGCAGCCGCTGTAGTCGAACTCGGAGGCGGTGGAGGCGGCCGAGCTGGCGACCGAGGGTGTGAGGGAGAGGCGCTGGATGGCGCGCGGTCGTCGAGGCGTGTCGGTGAGGAGTGTGGCGCCTTGGAATCCAAAGTCGTCCCTGAACTCAAAGTCGGGTTTGAGGGTAGTGGTCGTGTCGGCGCGCTTTCGCTGGATCTCGAGCATGAAGGCGGGGGTCTCGATATTGTCGCCAAAGGTGAGGGGCAGGTTGCTGGTCATGTCGATGGAAGGGGAGAAGCCGATGGGCCCGTTGGAAGAGAGGGGCAGGTCGAAGAGCTGCGAAGCGGCAGTGGGGCTGAAGAGCTGGTCCTCCATGTTGAACGTCGAAGAAAGATTAGAGACGGCGAGGATTCTGGTCGTACGATGAGGATGCGAAGAGAGTTGAGATGGTGGAGTGAAGAGGGGCGGAGGGAGTTGCGCGGAGTAGAGAGGAGGGAGGGCAAAGAAATGGGAACGTAGGGAGGTCGTAAAAAAGGTCGTTAAGGAACTCTCCTCTAGAGTCGGAGGAAGAGCCGCGGGTCGTTACAAGGTCGTTACAAGAGAAGCGATGCACGTCAAAGCTGGCATGCAGTGGTGGATGTGCTTGGCACACAAAGAGGCGGGTGGGAGAGTGCAGATGCGGTAGCGTGCAGGAAGCACGAGCGTCCGTGCGGATGATGCGGATGGAATTGGGTGTAGGCGTCGAGGATGGTCACTTTGTGGCGTTGAGGATAGCGGTGAGCTTGGTGGGATTGGAGGATGATGGGTGCTTCAAGTTTGCAGCCTAAAGCTGGAGAGTTGGTTCGTTACTGGGTCGTTAAACTGTGTGCGAGTGAGATGAGGCAAATGAACGTGACGGATGAACGTGCCGAAGCAGAAGCGTCAGTCGACCTTTCTACAGCGATGTGCGAGCGAGATGAAACGATGCGTTCGAGAGGCGGCGGCGGGAGCCACCCGAGCGGCGCCAACAGGGCCGTCCGGCGATTGCTGCAGGGCGATCCGAGTGCCGAGGGCTAGGTCTCGACATGGTGGGCGATATGCGTGTGACAGCTCGGGAGGCATTCGCGTTCTAGACGGCGTGGTGGGCGTGATCGGCGAGGCGGGAGCGCAAACGGTGCGTGCGTATGGCGATCCCGCTAGGCATTGTCCACCAAGTGTCACGGGAGGGACCCTGCGTCTATGGCCACGAGCGTGAGCGCAGCCGCCCACTGCCAAGCGATGTGCTCGGGACCTATCCATGTCGAGCGTAGCAAGGGCATTGTTCGGGCGATCGGCGTTACTGGACGATGCGCGTGCTGCGGTCCAAGCGCCATTGTGCCGAGTGTGATGGGCCGCGCGACTAATGTGGGTCGATGGACGGTCGTTCCTGCGTACTTACAAAGAGTTCGTTAGCCTGTGAAAGGCACGTTGCAAGAGTGGCCGGAACGCGATGGGTGGTGACGATCCTCGACGAAGATGTTGGAGATGATGGTAGGAGGCAAAGAGTGAAGACTGCAACGACCAGGGCTGGCTGGATGGGCGAGCCAGGCGGGGCAGGCGGGGCAGACAGGGCAGCGCTGCCAAGAGAGCGAGGCAAGGCGAGCCGGCGAGGCTGAGCATAGCCTCGAGGCGGCAGAGAGACGAGTGGGTGCCATAAGCGGCAGGTCGACAGAGCCGTCAGACCTGAGCCGATGCACTGCACTGCAACTGCAACTGCAATGCGAGGCGAGCCAGAGCGGCAAGGCGCCTCGAGGCGGTCGAAAATCAGACTCAGACTCGAATTCACTCGAGCCTCTCTGGCCGCTTTGGCACGGGAGTGCTGCAGTGCCTGGACGCATGAGTCGCGGGAAGCCCGACTCTGTGTGTGCCTCGACGCCAGTCGCCGCCCACCGCGCCAAAAAAAAAAAAAAAAAAA